GTAGATCTCATGAAGAGTAACCAAACAACTATCACTGATTCATGCCCAAATGAGACCCTGACCTACTGAAAAGAGCATCTTATAAGTAAAACCATTCCCAGAATGTCCCCCATGCACTCATACAAGCTATGGTCCAGTTACACCCTCCAACGTTCTGGTGACTCCCAGGTCACTGTGAAGCCCAAGCTGCCAAGTTTCAAATCCTGTCCCTGAGACTTACCAGCTGTGCAACTTTGGGGGAATATTTTTATCAATAATTTTTTTACTGATATATATATATATATATTTTAAATTTTTTACAAAAACTTTATTGAGAATTTCATACGTGATAAAGTGTTTTGATCAAATCCGTGCCCACTCCCTCCCCTCCAACATTCCCCCCTCTGAAGAGGTAGCCCTAAAATAGGGTTAGATATTTGCTCCCAAATACTTTTGATGTTTTTGGCCTTTGGAACAGTATGTTGTTAACAGGACCAAGGACATTTTGATTTTTAGCCAAAAAACTTGCTACATTTCTTTGCGGTCTTTTTACCTTAACTGCCTAGCCAATTCCTACTTACTATTCTTATCACGCCATCCTCTGAAGGAGTTACCCAAATTGCCAATAGGGAATAGGGACGCCAACTGTTCTGGCTTCTTCCATGCTGAACAGGGACTCAGGGTGAGGCAATTGGAGTACCCCTTCAGTGGGTCTATCTAAAAGACTCCCAAATTGTATAACTCTTGTCTCTAAGGGGAGAAGAAAGTCCTTGAATCATGAATAGGAGATGTGAAAGAGAAGTAAAGGCAAGAGCAATTAGCATTACAAGTTCTAGACCATAGTCTTATCAATAATTTACTTGTAATTTCCTCATCAGTAAAATGAGCATAATGTTATCTGTTTTATAGAGTTTTTGCGAGGATTGAATGTATTAATATTCTACAACACTCTGGAGAGCACCTGGCTCAAAGAACTCACCACACAGTAACTATAATTATTTATTTTTATTTAATAGTGTTTGGGAGGGGACCTGGGACTTTGCACAGGTTAGGCAAATGTTCTCCCACTGAACCACACCCCAGGCCAACTTGGACTTTTCTTATTGACCAGTGCTTTGGCCTGGTGTCTGAGCAGGTTCCTAGCAGCACATGGAACAAAACTTCACTGTTTAAATGGATGGAGAGACTTCCACTACCATCCTAGGGGGTGCCTCACAGATCCAGTTCTGTCATAACAGGTCACTGGGATGAAATTCTCTCACAGATTCCCAGGGAGTTATTTTTCTAAGACTCGACCTCATCTTCCCTTGGACCAAGCTAGAGGTAAAAATCTCAGTTTGCAGAATTCTAAGAGCTGTGGGGGTGGGGTCTGGCCCCCTCTCCTGCTGTGGGACTAAGGCCTCAGAGATGGCTCTCCCCAGGGGCATCATCCCCTCTGTGCTGGCTGTGTCAGTAATGGCTCCCACCAACAGGTGCTCCTTGATAGTGAGCCCCATGCTGGGCCACTCAGGCCAAGGGAGGCACAAGTGGAGTTGGAACCCACCAAGGCCCTGGTGACCACTGGTAGCATACTTACCCTGCTGACCTGGGCTGAGGCTGGAAGTCCCACAGGTAGAATCTTCAACACATCAGTTCAACAGTCCCACAGCAGGACAAGGATGACTTTACAGCTTCTGGTTGCTGGTGGAGGTGGTGATACAGAGGGCTGCTGAGATGGGGCTTCAGAAGCAGCAGGACCCTACCCTCACCACCCCCCTTACCACACACTCCCATCCCTCTGGTCTCATAAAACCAGACATCTGCTGCCAGGAGGCACAAGGCTGACCAACTGTCCTGAGTTCCTGGCTTGCTTTCCTTCCACACAGGATTTTTCTATGCATCACTGCCAAGCAGTGGGGATATCTCTGTCTCGAGGTCCTCAACAGATTTGCACTGTGATGGGGACTTGTCCTCTGCTGACAGCCCTTTCTTTAGGCCTCTGAGTAAGTAGATCAAGAGACGGGAAACAGGCATGGTGCTGCTGCCTCTCCAGAGATCCCCTGAGACACCTGTGACCCAGCCTGCTTTCCCAGGCAGGCCCAGGAAACCTGCCAAGTTCAAACTCAAGCTGGGTCCAAGCTGCCCCTAAGCTGTGCCTCTTTGGGGCAAACCAGGCATGCACATTCCAAGTCCTAAGTGGGAACAAAAGAAAAGAACCCAGCAAATGTCACAGAACCAACTCCAATTGAAAGTTTAGATTTTTCCCTTTTTATTTGTATTAATGACAGTAGGTAGCATAGATAAGGGGGGGAGTACATGTACATTATGTGGTGGAGTTTGATAATCTGGGGCTGACCTGCCACTGCACCAGGGATGATGATACAACCAGAGAGGTTTTTTTTTTTTTTTTTTTGTCTTTTTAAGACGGGGTCTCCCTGTAGCTCCAGCTGACCTGGAACTCATTATGTAGAACCTCACAGAGATCTGCCTGCCTCTACCTCCCGAGTGCTGGGATTAAAGGTGTGCATCACCATGCCCCGCTTTTATTTTATTTATTTATTTTTTAAAGGCTCTTGGGATCCTGAAGTAATCCTCCCTGTGCTCTGGTATTTTACAGAGTTTTAGGGAAACAGTTTCTCATTTGCTGGCATACCTCATCTTAATGGGTCCTTCCACAGTAGTCCCAGAAGAAGGCAGGGCTAGGCTAAAAAGCTGAGTTTTAAATTCCTGAAACAGCACCAGTGGGTTTAGAGGGCAGGGGTAGAAGAGGACAGGGCCTGTACAGAGGCTGCTACTGTGCCAGTTCAGCTGGTCGGGAGGGGCATAATGAAAGAAATGGCTCAGATTGAATATTGCTGTGGCAGAGCCACAGCCCAAGCCAACTATAGGTGGCAAAGTTTCTGGGAAGGTTGGAGTCACTTCTGAACCTGACCTGGATACTTTGCTGTTCTAAAGACTGGATCAGCCTTTGCCCCAGGAGGCACCAAGGATGCCCCTGGCCTTGATGCCTCCAGATCAGAGGTGACCTACAGGCAGGAATAAAATCCATAAAGACCATCTACCTTGGACCATGGATTCTTGGTATAAGTATAGTTATTAACACAATTTCTCAGAAGAGGAGCCTATAGCTTAATAAGCCCACCAACTGGGACTCATTAAGAGCCCTTCAAGCCACTGTGCAAGGACAGTTCCAGTTGGCATTTCACTGCTGCGTTTCACTCTCCCCGGACTAATGATTTTAAACCTCAATACTATTTTATGTAAAGCTGGGACTGATAATGGTTCCCAACTCTCAGGTTCCTGTGAAAATTAAATGGTATAATGTGGATCAAAGGCTTGCATGCTGTTAGCATGTTTCAGATTCCCATTGCAGAGACCAACCCTTACCCAAGGGACAAGAGCATCTTAAAGAACTACTAATGATTTGGATTTACTCTTACAGTGAACTTCTCAGACCTATGGGAAAAAATGCCCCAGGATTGGGCCTGTCTCGTCATTGGTAGGATATTACTCTGAAGTTTACCTGGAAGGGTTACAGGAACGTTAAAGAGTGGAGGGAAAAGGAAGTCAACCTAGTGCCCCCCTATGTCAGGCCTGCATGTGGGACAGCTACTTCCCCCAACTACAGGGACCGCCACAAGGTGGGAGGAAGTCTATTCTGACTTAACCAAAATAAAGGAGTGTATCGATTACATTTCTCATTGCTGTTACAAAACACCTGACAAAAGCTACCTGAGGAAGGAAATGTTTATTTTGGCTCACACTTAGAGGGTACAGCCCATCAAGCCAGAGAAGTCACAGCAGCAGGAGCGAGAGGCAGCTGGTCACATGGTATCCACAGTCTTGAAGCAGAGAGATTAATGCTGGTGCTCAGTTGACTTTTCTTTCTATTAATTCCAAGACCTCAGTAAAGGTTGGTCTTCCCAGCTCAGTCAACTCAGTCTAGTAATAGACAATCTTTCCCAGATATGTCCAGAGATTTGTCTCCCAGGTAACTTGAGAGCCTTTCAAGTTGATAATATCAACCATCACAGAGAGTTAGGGGGATTCCTTTCCAAGGCAGCTTAAAACAAGAGACTATTGAAAGAGCCTGGGAACAAAGCATTACATGAAGCCCCCTAGCAGGGGATGCACCTATTAACATCAGGGCTTCCCTAGGTAAGACAGACCCAAGTCACTTCCCTAGTGCTGAAGTTTCTAATATATTAAGGGTAAAGGGGGTTAAAAACAAAATACTGAACCAGGATTACTTGTGTCATGCTGTGTTACATTTTAATAAGATTAACGCACACACACACACACACACAAAAACTGTGCTAGTCATAGAGTTCTTCCAAAGTCTACCCTTTTTTTCTTTAAAAAAATTTAATCCACAGAACACTGGAGCCAGTGCTTATGGATGATGGACAGAAATGTTTCCAAGATCATCAGAGCATCCACTCCAGAATGCCAGCAGTTCATATCTGAGGTCTGAATGTAATCTGACACCCCGAAGGTCTTGATCAGGTCTGTCCTTTGGAAGAGGAAGTGGATATCCTGCTATTGACAGACACTAACCTTGAGCCCTAAAGTGGCCCCCTCCGAGAAGGGCTTCCCTGGGCTGTGGCCTCAGGGAGCCAGCTGCCTCACCCGGAGGTTTGGGGCAGGGGTAGGGTGTAGGCGATGAATGACTTTTTTCACAACTGTATAGAATGTCCAGGTGGCTGGAATCAAAGATTAACTTTCATGTGTTCAAAGAGTCCTCTGAAAATCCGATGAAATCCCTGAGCCTTACCTAACCCTCCCTCCACCCTTTCCTCCTTAGAGGTCTTCAAACTTCTGGCCTCTGGCCTCCAGGGTAAGCCCGGCCAGAGAGAGGCCCTAGCGCCCCGCCGGGTCCCTGTATGATGACTTTGCGCCTGGTTTCGCCTGGCACCTTCCTTCGCCTCCAGCAAGGGCTGCAGGCAGTGGAGCCGGCGGGTTGACCCCAGGCCCCGCCCACCCGCGATCTGCTGTTGGGAGCCTGAGCGCACACAGCCCCAGACTTCGCCCGCATACTCGTGGCCTGCAACTCCAGCTCCCAGGGCTGCTCCCGGGCCTTTGCTCCAGCCATGAAGATGCACTTCTGTATCCCGGTGTCCCAGCAGCGGCGGGACGCGCTAGGGGGTCGTTACGTGGTGCGCCAGGGCCCTGGATCGGGCTGGGTTGGGAAGGGCTCAGTAATCCTGAGCATCGTCCCGGTCCTGTCTCCACTAACCCCGGACTGGTGTCTCTGTGCTTTCAGCTGTACTCGGTGTACCTGGACGGGTTCCTCTTCTGCAAGGTACGCTTTAGCCAGATGCATCAGTGGAACGAACAGGTGAGCCGGTGGGAGAAAGTGTGTCCAAACGGCTTGAGTTGTGTGACCTCGAGAGACACAGGACTGGGGGTGGGGAGGAAGAGAGGGAGGTTCAAGGTCCTAATTTGTGAAACAGGGGTCATGGTAAGGATTAATTATGAATCGATTGGCATACAGCTGGATAGCTATGTGTTGAGGTCCCCAGTTACCTACAAGTGTGAAATGAGGGACCAGACTCCGGGGATTCTCCAACCCTTCTTAACCCCAATAGCCCCTGGGAGAGCTGTGGCAGGTGGGTCTCATCTCAGTGCCAGGTGCTTCCCAAGAACGGTGTTCCCCTTCAGAATGAGAAATCAAATCAAGATGGAGGTGTAGTCTTAGGAATCTCGTATATGGGTCTCTAACCTTCCTCTTCAGTTTTTAAGCGCACTCCTTTAAAAAAAAATAGGTATCTTTGGGGTTGGGGATTTAGCTCAGTGGTAGAGTGCTTGCCTAGCAAGTACAAGGCCCTGGGTTCAGTCCTCAGCTCCGGGGGGGGGGGGGGGCGGGGAGAAAGAAAAAAAAATAGGTATCTTTGTTTGCAAATGGCCTCTTACAGGCTTCAAGTCAGGACAAACTGGGAACCCAGAAAATAGATGCCTAATTGGGTTAAGAGGCCATTTCCCACTGTATTATTTTCTCAGCCTGGTGTCCCAAACTTTTTCTTTGGTAGGAGATGGATTTATCAGTCTGCTCTGATGTATTGTATTTTCTTACAAGTAGGTGCTGAACATCTTCAAAATGGGTTGTTAGTGAACTTTGAAAATACTGTTTGTTCTCTGTCTGCCCTCCTCCATGAGTAAGTTTTTTTTTTCCCCTTTCTTTTAGATTTTAAAGAGTACAATTTAGAAGGTAAAAAGAAATGACTAGAAGACAGAAAAAACTTAGCCAGAGGCAAAAAACAGTGTTGAAGGGAGGAAAGTTCTCTCATATAGTCCTTGAGTTTTATGAGTGGGTCTATCATGTTTCAAGTAGCTGTCTTCTGTTGGTGCATAGCTCAGTTTATTTTATTGTGTGTGTGGCGGGGGGCAAAGAGTTTGAGACAGAGTCTCACTATGTAGCCCTGGCTGGCCTGGAACTGACAGAGATCCACCTACCTCTGCCCCCTGAGTGCTAGAATTAAAGGCATGCAGCACCACATCCAGAAGACAAACTGCTTTTGATCAAAACGTGTTTGGGGAGCTGTGAGGACTGCAGAGGCAGCAGATATGAGTCTTGAAGGAAGCAAAAGGGTAGGTGTTTCAGACATTTGGAGGGAAGTCAGGGTGTCGTCTCCCACCCTCATCTGTCAGCCTGCAATGGGAGGTGAGTGTGAGGAAGGAGGTGTCAAGCTGGAGGCAGGTGAGACTGATGTGAAATCTGTGATTTTGAGCTTTCTTACTAGAAATGATAAACATATTGATGGTTATGGATGCCAGTCATGCCTCAGGAAAATGCTGACTTTCAAGAAAACTCAGACAGGTCAAATTGTAGGAGAGATGTAAAAGAGAGGAAGCATTTGTTCTTAATCTTTTCTTTTCGGAGTCATGACAAACAAGCTGTTTTTAATCATGACAGTGGGCCCTAAAATATTGAATAACCACAACTCATTGTCCCTGGTGGGGTCTGCAATAGATGTGAACCATTACTTTGTGTTTTTCCCAGACTGTTTCAGACTCTAATATAGAAATTTTTTTGTTCATTTTCTGACTTTTCCCCTACTTTCTATCTGAACAACATAATTTTGAAGATACTACTATCTAGTAGTAGGTGGTGTTGACATTTATTATTAATTTAAAATAACAGCTAACAGGCAGTTTACTATGTGCTGGGGTTGGTGCCAAGCACTTTCCATGCAAATTGCTTCCCACACAATGGTTGCAGCAGTCTTATCAACTAAGATCACAATTTGTTTCATGAATAGATGAAGAAACTTGATGCCAGATTTGTTTCAAGTTGTGTTCTGTTAGTACTGGAGCTGGGATGTAATCTTCAGGACCAACTCTGTCCCATTACATCAAGTGGTTTCTTAGTAAATTTGACAAAATAATTTATGTCCATAAAACAATTGAATTCAACCATTGGTCCCCCATCAAACAGACTTTTACTATATTTTGGAGTAACATAATGAAATTCCCCAATTTTAGGTGGCTAGTATGCTGACTTTCAGTAAATGTATGTAATTGCTACCACCATAATCAAGATAAAGGACAGGTCCCTCTTTGTCCTCAATGCCTTCTACCTGCCCTATTCCTGCCTCTGACAATCAAGAGCTCTCTACCACCAGAATTACAGGAACAGGATTCTGTTGGCTTGTTTGTTTGTTTTGTGGTTTTGGGGCTGGAATCCAGGGCCTAGTACATGCTAGGCAAGTACTCTGCCACTGACCTATGGCCCCAGGACCTGCAAGGGCAAAAGAGTGTTCTTACTCCTCCCAAGGTAAAGCGTAAGTCCTGTTGCCAGATTTAACTGGCAGAATCACCAGTTAAATCTGAAATTTAGGTAAATAAACATTTTTCAAATTTTTTATTTTTTTGGTGAAAGCATGTTTTTTGCACTATTTGGGACATATTTACATGGGTGTTCTATATTTTATCTAACCCCTCTGAGTCTGATATGGAAGAACTGAGGGCCCTTTTCTAAACACAACTCTGCTGGGTTTTTTATTTTTCCTGCTTTTTTGGTGAATGTGAAATGCCTTCAAATTCTTTAAAAGTTTCTATCTATCTATCTATCTATCTATCTATCTATCTATCTATCTATCTATCTATCTATCTATCTATCTATCATCTATCTACCATCTATCATCCATCTATCTATCTATCATCTATCTACCATCTATCATCCATCATCTTTCTATCTATCTATCTATCTATCTATCTATCTATCTATCATCTATCTATCTATCTATCTATCTATCTATCTATCTATCTATCTATCTATTTATGGATGGGAGTTGGGAGGCATGTGTGTACCACAGATTGAGTGTGGAGGTCAGAGAACAACTTGAAGAAGTCAATGCTCCACTTCCATCTTTTGTCCTTGTAATTGAATTCAGCTAACAAGCTTGGCAGTACGTGCTCTTACCTGCAGAGCCATCTCACCAGCTCCAGATTCTTAATCTGATTGAATACAAAGTACACTAAACGGAAACAGTAGAAAGGCTGTGTGCATGTATGTGATGTGTGTAAGTTTATTCCCTTAAGAACTATTTATGATGTTCTTATACACTGCGTATTATATTAAATAAAGATGGTAACTTTAGCAACGTGTTTTTTGGATGTAAGAACTGAATTTATATGTCATATACTGTACACTGTGAGATTGAGGAGGAGAGCCTGTCCAGGTGACATGGCCCCACGTCCCTGTCTGCCAGGGTATGTAGAGAGCTAGTACAAAGAAGACCGAGCCTGGGGAGGAGAAGGGTGTGTCTCCACAAGGTGAGCTGTGACCTGTGCTCTCTGACACATCAGCTTCAGCCTTGTTCCTCATTGTGGCTCTCTCAAGGGCTTGCAGCTTGCCCTGCTGCTACTGAACCCTGTTCATCTCTGCTACATGAACTGTCTGTCTGGTTCAGCTTTCTGTGTCTTTAAATAAAACCAGTTTGATTGTGCCTCTGCCCTTTCCTGAACCACTTTCCTCACATATAAAGGAATCTGTGAGAGCAGTGTTCAGCCAGCTTGCTGGGATCTGGGGTTGTCAGGGGAACATCCTGGGCAAGTGATGCTGGACCCTACCAACATGCCAGTGTCAGACATGGCTATGGGGACAATTCAGGAAAGCTTGCAAAGGATGCTTCATCAGGAGGGAGGACTCTGCAAACCTCTCACACTGCTTGGTGCTCCTTCCTGCCAGATGCCAGCCCCCACCTGGTTCCTTCTCTACTCCACACTAAACTGATTTCCCTACCCACTCCAGCCCCTTTTCTTTGAGACAGGTCTCACTGTGTAGCCTAGACTGGCCTTGAATTCTCCATCCTCCTGCTTCAGTTTCCCATGTGCTGGGATTGCAGGGATGTGCCACCCTGCCTGGCTTTGCTCCTCCTCTTTCTCCATTCACATCTCCTATTCCTATCAGGTCGTTCCACTCATTGCTTCCACCACACTCACTTCCTCTGTGTGGAGGACTGTTGGTTCCTGGATCACCTGTCAGGAACAATCACTTTCTCAAGCTGAGCCTCTCCCGGAAATCCCTCTGGATTGTGTGAGATGATTTTGATTCTTGTGCCACGTTATGCTTAGGTGCCACAACCCAGATTGCTTTGAGTATGGCCCTTTAGCTGGTGGGTCTAGAGTTTGGTTACAAAGGAACTTGGAGAGGTGGGGCATGTAAGTCAGCATTAGAATTGGAGAATGAAGAAATAACACTCTGTAACTCCACTTGTCCCAGTAGTCAGCACTTTAGATAGGTGTTGTGAGTGCAGGAAGGCAGGGAAGGAAATGACTTAAGCAACCCATCAGTTTGGTTCTGTTCATGTTAAAAGCAGAGCTAATATTGGTGCAAGAAATTGTTGTGGGTTTTAAAAAGTACCTGAACATAGTCTTTCATTAAGAAAAAAAAAAAAAAAAGCATCCAAGGGCTGGAGAGATGGCTCAGCAGGTAAGAGCACTTGCTGTTCTTCCAAAGGACATTAGTTTGGTTCTCAGCCCCCACATTAGGTGGCTCCAGGGGATTTGACACACTGTTCTGGCTTCTGCTGGCATCTGCATGAACATGCTACACACAGACACAGACATATCCACATAAAAATTTCAAACATGGGGCTGAGGATATGGCTCAGTTGGTGGAGTGCCTGCCTAGCTTACTCAAAGCCCTGGGTTCATACTCAGTATTGCATGTGTGTGGTGGTGCATGCCTGTAATTCCTGCACTTGGGAGGTAAAAGCAAGAGGATCAGAAGTTCAAGGTTGTCCTCAGCTATTTATTGAGTTCAAAGCCAGTCTAGGATATATAGACCCTGTCTTAAAAAGAAAACCCTCAAACAAAAAGCACCCCCCAATAACA